CAGAACACGAAACCGGGAGACTGGAGCTTGGGTCCGGGTCCGCAGCCACTCTGGCCTGTCTCTAGGCCGAGCCACAGCAGAAGGAGGAGTCCAGGCCTTGCTCCGCCCTCCCGGCCTTCGTCCCTGTCTAGATCCAGCTACAGGGAGGCGCAGGGCCAGCCTAGGCCAGCGTGGATGACCTGGCTGGACACTTACTAGGAGGCCTCCTCTGTCGCCTGCAGTGCTCCCCGGGGTGGCTATGTGGACCTCAGTGGGGGAGGACACAGTGGGGCCCTGGAGGGAGAGCAGTGCACGTCACCAGGTGGCACGGCCTGGTGTCCCGCTGCCTGCATCCACGCCTACCACCGCTCCTCAGGGCCGCTGCAACCCACTTCCGTGCCGGCCTGCCTGCAGGGTCCCCTTGCCGAAGAAGAGAAAGGAGGGAGACAGAGCTGGGACTGGCTGGTCCTTGTCCCTGGAGAGGAGGGCATGGCCCGAGGTTTCCAGATGAGGCAGCTGGGGCTCCGTCCGCCTCCCCTCAGAGGCCGTGAGGGGCTTTGTTTGCTTTTTGCACAGCCGGAAACAACCTTGAGCCCAGCTGATCTCGGGAAGCGACTTAGAGCAGAGCGGGGCTTGTAAACAGCTGTGGGGTTTCGCGGAGGGCAGAGGTGTTGAAAACCTCCGGTGGATTTGAAAGCTTTGATCAGGCAGGGCAGACCCAGGGGGGGACAGGGCGCGTACAGGCATGGTGCCGTGGTGTCTGGAGAGCCGGCAGCTGGAGGGATTCGAACCTGGGCCTGCCAGGCCCTGCCTAGCCCTGCGAGCTGCTTGCTCCAAAGCCTCCGAAAGCTTGGCCTCTCCTGCTGGTCTTGCAGGAGGCGTGAGGGGAGCAGCAGGGGAGGGGCCTCACCCACTCCAGACAGCCCGGTCCACCCAGACTGGCTGCTGAGCGCTTGGACCCAGCCTGCCCACCGTGAGGCTCTGGCCCTCCTGCCCCGGGCTGCCCTCTGCACCCCGCTCTCCAGAGCACGGGAGCCAGCCCCGTCTCGCTCCCAGCCCTGGGAGCCGCAGTGTCCAAGACGTCTGCGCAGGGTGGAACCGCTTTGCTGAGGCTCGGCCGGGCCTGGGTTTGGTGCAGCCCGGAAATCGGTCTCCCGGAGGTGCAGAGCAGGAAATGACTGAGACACGGCTCACAGGAAGGAGCCGCTTCCCGGGGTGTCGGTCAGTGCTTCTCAAACCTTCCTGACCACGGGACCCTTCCCCAAGCAAGGCAGTTCACCCTGCAGGGCTCGCGCCGTGCGGCACCTGTTCAGGGACCGCAGTGTGCGCGTGACCGTGGGCAGGGGTCTGTCCTCGAGTTTCACGACTGATCCCTCCTCTGGCCCAGCCTGCCCAGGGCGGGAGGGGAGGTCAGAGTCCTGCCCAGGCCAGACGGGTCCGCCTGTTCCTTCCTCTGCTGTTTGGAGACCCCTCCTCAGGGTCCCCGGCAGCCTCTGTGCACCCACGGGTCTCCCCACAGCTCAGCAGGGACCCAGACAAAATTCCTGCAGAGAATTCCTGACAGCTTTCTTGCCCAGGGGTCCTCCAAGACAGGCCCAGATAGCCGGACACAGAGGACATCTGTAACCCCAGCACCGTGCAAGGCTGAGACAGGAGGCTCTCTAGCTTGAGCCCAGCCTGGATAACTTAGTGACTTAATGAGACCTTGTCTCAAAATACAAAATAAAAAGAGCTGGGGGTGCATCTCAATGTGAAGGGCCTGGGTTCAATCCCCAGTACAGGAGGAGGAAAAACAAAGATGGGCCTGGAGCCACCTCTGCAGAGCAAGCCACAGCAGTGAGAGGCCCGTCCCGAAGGCCAGGCCCGGCACGGTTGCCCCGTCCGTGTGGACACAGGCGCAGGCATGGAGTGCTGCTCACAGGAGTACGGCGCCATCGGCTCCTGGCGCGGGTGCTGGCAGAGCTGGAGTTGATGTCTTCAGCCCCACACGGGCCCTGCCAAGAGCTCAGCTGACCCCATTCCCCGCCTTTAATGGAAGGACACAGACTATTCGCTTGTGTTTGTTTGGTTGGGCTGTCTTCTCTGTAGTTCTCTGTGAAGCTGGGCACGGAACCCGGGCCTCACGCGTGCTAGGTGAGCATGTGACCCGGAGCAACCCGGAGCTACGCCCCAGCCCTGTGCACCTTTTCAACCCGACATCCCGGAAACTGAGGGTGGACAGGACCCTCCGCAGGAAACTTGATTTTCCCTCGCTTAAGGGGCTTCTCACTAACTAGGGTGGCCCACCAGGGACGCTGAGGAGCTGGCGGAGGGCAGGGTCTCGGGCGGAGCTCTGGCCTAGCACACGAGAGGCCCTGGGTTCATCCACAGCAGCACAAAAACGATAAAAAAGTTCAGCATAAACAGAGGCTGCAGGGCCAGGCTGGAGGGGGGGCAGTGCCAGGTGAGACCGCGGCAGGGGCTTCGGCGCACAGGCCCCTAGGATGGGGCCTCGGTCCTGGCCACGGCCCGGGCTTGTTCCCAGCACAGGGCCCAGCAAGATCTTCCCATCTGGGCCTCTGCAGGGTGAGGAGACAATGCCACCGACCTGACAGGGTGGCTGCAGTGATCACAGAGCTCCTGGGGAGGTCCAGGCTGGGACTGGGCCCCGGGTATGTCGTGGCAGCCAGGAGGGCCAGGCCTGGGGGAGGGGCCTGGCAGAGACGCCTCGCAGGACACAGCCAGAGAGGCTGGAGGCGGGCGGGCCCAGCGTCAGGCCTGTGGGTCCAGGGTCGCAGCAGTCAGGAGCTGAGCACAGGATCCCGGCGGGCCAGGCGGTCCATGATGGGACTGGAGCTGAGGTGGCACCAAGGCCCTGGCCGGGGTGACCCCTCCGCCCTCTCCTGGGCCCCAGCCGCCCCAGGCCATGGGTGTGATGTCCAAACCCTCAGCCAAGTGTGAGGCTGTGGCAGCCAGAAACGCTCGACCCAGTCACAGCACTGCAGGAAGCCAGAGTCCCCAGGAGCGGCTGGCGCACAGGGACCAAGGGGCAGAGGCTGGCCTGGCCGTACACAGCCGTCAGCGGAGGCACCGAAAGTGACAGGACGAACTCCCGCGGGGCTGTGAGAGGCCACGGGAGGGAGACGGAGACGCTGAGGCCCAGAGGCCCCACGTCCCACTGGCACCGGGCCGTTCTCTGCCCGCCCTGCCTGCCCCTTCACACACGCGTGCACATGCGTGCACACTTTTCAGAACCAGATTCCCCAGTGCGGCCTCTCAGAGCAGCTCTCTGGTCTTCCCTAGGCTGCACCCGAAGCGGACAATCCAGGACAGAAGCCAAGGCCGGGCAGGCTGTGAGGTCAGGCCTTGTGCACAAAACTACCTAAAATACGGCAGACACCAACCTTCCAGCTCTGTGTAGGGTGCTCACGGGACAGGTGAACAGAGTTTAGACCTGGGTCCTCTCCCCTAGGTCCCTCATTGTGAACACACAGAGAGGCTGGGATCCCTGACCCAAAGCGCTCAGGCCCCACATGCTTTGGAATTGGAAATTTTTAGATTTTGAAACATTTGTCCAGTGAGCTGTCTTGAGAGTGAGACCCAAGTCTAGATACAAAACCTGTTCATGGCCGGATGTGGTGGCGCATGCCTGTAATCCCAGCACTCGGGAGGCTGAGGCAGGAGGATCGTTGTGAGTTCAAGAGCAGCCTGGGCTACAAAGTAAGCTCAAGGCCAGCCGGAACTGCATAGCGAGACCCTGTCTCAAAAAGACAAAAAAAATTCATGTGTCACATGCACCTTCCTGAGGGTTCCTGAAGGTAACATCTGTGAAGCAAGGTTCTCTGGGATGAGGTTTCCCACGTGAGGCCAGCCTGGTTTGCCACTCCAAAAGTTCTGGATTTGGAGCATTTCAGATTTTCAGATGGGGGTGTTCCGCCTGTGTCCCAAAACCCAGAAACAAACCAACCTGCAGAACACTACTGATCCCGCGTGCCTCAGAGGAGGAACACCGGGTCTGCGAGTTTGTACAGCACTGCTCTGCACGTGCCCCCATCCACGCCCAGGGACACAGGGCTCAGACCTCCTTCCTGACTCCTGGGAGGCTGGTGTGGACCTCACGCTCACAGCGCCTATTGGTGCCGCAGTCAGGAACAGGCCCTCGCAGCCGCTGTTGGTGCCGCTGTTCCTGAGCTGGGAACAGGCCCTCACAGCTGCCCTGGGCGCGTGGAGAAGCCCGCAGCGCTTCCCGGAAAAACAGGGAAGCCGGACGCAGGCAGGGTGAGCCCAGCAGATAGCACGTATGCGAAGGATCACAGCTCACACCTCTGCTGGGGTCCGGAGCCAGGTCCACAGGGAGGAGGGACAGCAGCGGGATGGAGGTCAGGGTCCACAGAAACCGAACGTCCTGGTGTGCGGCCTCCTTGGCTTCCTGACCACCTGGGCGGGGAGGAGCAGGCAGGCACAGCCTCGCTGAGCTGAGCGGCGGACGGCTGCCCGCGTGCCGGCTCTGGGAGCCCTGCAGTAGTTGCTGACCCTCTGCAGTCCCAGCTCTCTCGGGACCTGCGCTGTGTTACTCAGCAAAGGCCACAGCCCTGCGGATGCTCAGAGCCCTCAGGACTCTTCGGTTATGAGCGGGAAACCCGCTCAGGCTGCCTTAGGGGAGACGGCAGGCCCAGCTGCAGCATGGGGCCTCAGCCCTGTCTCTCTCTGCTTCTCGCTTTGCTTTCTGCTCTGCTGCCTCTTTCTCAAGCCACGTGGTAGCCCCAGAGCTCCAGGCTCAGCTGAGTCTGGAGAAAAAAAGCCCTCTTCCCCTATGGGTCACCACTGAAAGTCCCAGGCTCGGCACTCACAGCTCAGCTTGGGTCCCAGGCTCAAGCCTGATGCTGTGACCTTGACTGAGGGGGTGTGGCCACGTGCCCACCCCGCGCAGGCCACGCGGGATGTACCCAGGCCTCTGGGCTCAGGGCAGGCTGCATGTTGTTGTCACTGAATACAGAAGACCTGCCATTCCCGAGTGTAACCTCTGCTCTCTCCTTTCCCAGGGACCGCTGGGTCTGGATGGCAAGCCTGTAAGTGATAACAAGGACATGGAGCGTCCCCAGAATGGGCCGTCCCTGTGCGTGGGGGGTGACTGCCGAGCACTCCGGGCAAGGGACCGACGGGTTAGAGAGTTAGGGTCAGGGCTGGAGTTAGAGTCTAGGGTTTAGGATTAGGGTTAAACCGTAGGATTCAACTTAGGGTTAGGTTAGTGTTAAATCAGTGTTACGGTTTAGGGTTAGGGTTTAGGTTTGGAGTTTATGTACTAAAGAGACTAATATATTATGATATTATGATATTATATTATATTAGGTCTCTTTCGTGTCCCTAGAATAAAATACCCAGCACCACAGTTTAAAGGAGGAGAGGTTTTTCTCACTTACGGTTTTCACAGTCAGTCCGTGGCTGGCTGACTGTGGCAGAGACGGCATGGTGGAAGTGCGTGGTAGAGGAAAGCTGCTGACCTCATGACGGCTGGGAAGCAGAGAGAGAAGGGAGGAGCCAGCTGGGGAGATAAACCCTCCAGAGCCCCGCGCCCGTCACCCCTCCTCTGACCAGGCCTCGCCTCTGAACAGCAGACTGAGCTATGAGATCATCACCAATGGCTCACACCCCGGGCCAGTGCACCTCCCCTGCGATCTAATCGCCTTCCGAAAGCCCTCCCATGAGTACGTGAGACGTTACAGAATATTTTAGGCCTAAACCATAACAGTTAGGGTTGGACTTGGGCTTAGGGTTGGAGTTAGGTTAGGGTTTGGGGGGAGTTAGGGTTTAAGCTTAGGTTTAGTGTTAAGGTTAGAGGTTTAGGTTTGGGGGAGTCAATGTGCTATGATTAGAAGTTTAGAGATTTCAGAAAAGCAATAAGGCCATTGGTTGTCTTCTGAATTCAAATCCGTGGCCACCTGTTGACTGCTTCCTGGGTGGCCTCTGCATCCCCTATCTCCAGGCTTCTTGTCTTGAAATGCGTTCAGGCCTCCCTCTGGAGCCGTGGAGAAATGCAGGCAGTGTGGTCCCTGGTGCCTGTTTAGCTCTCAGAGTCTGAAGTCCCTGCAGCAGGCCTAGAGTGTCCCAATCCATTCTCAGGATCCCACGGTGGGCGTTGGACTGAGACATTCTCAACACCTGGTTCACGAGCCCGTGATCCCGGGGCATCGGATGCCCAGGGGAATTAGCACAGTCACATAGATCCCTGGGGGTGGATTGCTATGGCTGGGATGGGGGGCAGACTGACGGGAGGAGGGGGACAGTTAGGTGGAGGGCTCCCTCCTTGAGGGCAGTGTGCTGCCAGGACAGGCTCTCTGTCTACCCCAACCCTGCAGATTGCAGGGAGCCCCCAGGGTGGTCTCCTCCCGCATCTGCTCACAGATAGGTGTGTGCTGAGCAGTGAGGCACTGTGCTGTCCGGAGGGGCGGAACTGCCTGTGTCCCCTTCCCAGGGGAGTGGGCATCCGTTGGCCCTGTGGGCGGCCACCAGACCCTTGCCTCCCTCGTGCTGAGGACTGAGGCGAGGCGCTTCCATGAGACCAGCAAGGGCAGCTCCTGCGAAGGGGAGCGGGCGTGTGTGTGGAATTTCCACTCGGCCTCCCCGGCTCTGCCCAGTGTCGCGGGTCCATCTGCCCCAAACCGCACAGGGCCGTGGGAAGGGGAGCCCACCTCCCTCTCTGCATTCACACCTCTTCTTTCTCCCTCTCCTTCTCCAGGGACTTCCAGGCCCCAAAGGGGAAAAGGTAAGTACGGCTGAAGCTGTCCAGACTCTGGAGGCTGAAAAGGGTGCCAGTCCCAGAGTGTGACCTTGGGCAACTCAGAGCCCCTCGCAGAGCCTTGGGTTACCCACCTGTAAAGTGGGGTCAGGGATCCCTACCTCCTCAAATGGCGAGGAGACTCACACTTGACAGCAGAACATGCTGACAGAGTTCAGTCTGAAATCTGGCACCAGGGTTTAACGAAGCTCAGAGGCACAAGCTTCTCAGATTGACCAGTTTCCAAAGAAATTAACAGTGCGCGAGGGTCTCGGGAGCGCTTGGGAACTTGAGTCGTGTCTGTTCCCGGTGTGCTCTGCGGGGAGGAGCGCGTGGCAGAGTGCCATCTTCGAGCGCCTTGAGAAAGACCCCCTGGCACTCGGCACTGAAAGTCACAGGGAGCGCCCCCAAGGGCTGGGCCCACCACAGCTTGGAAGGGAGCCCAGGGTCCTTGTGCTCCCTGTTCCTGCCGGTGGGGTCAGGGAGGAGGATCAGAGCAGACACCCAGTACGGCAGGGCCCACCGAGGGCCCCCAGGGAAGGCCAGCACCGGCCACATCCACCCCGACCTCAGCTGGGAGATGGGGAGCAGGAGCGCTGGGAGTAGGCCCCCAGCCACATGGCCGTGCAGACGGGGGCCGCGGCTCTGACGCCGTCGGGGCTGAGAAGCCGGAAGGCACGGGGTTTGGTGTTCAGAGCCTTCGCTTCCCATTCTGGCTCCGCCATCAGCGGTGTGGCCGTGGGCAGGTTGCTTGCTTCGGTGGCTCTCAGCTTCCCCATTTGAAAAGTGAAACCCAACCCCACAGAGCCATGGAGAGGATGGCACAATTCGTGCTCACGGCGTTCTGAGGTGGGCAGGGGACGCTGGCACAGTGGTGCACGTCACAACTGCCTTCCCGGTGCCTCTGGCTGAAGCCGAGGGGTCACGCACAGCCTGAGCAGGGCCTCGGGTGCTGTGGTATCCACAGCCGCATGATTCGCCAGCCCCACACTTCACTGCTTTGTGCAGTTCACCGTCGTTGCCCTGCCTGTCCCAAGGTCCAGGGCCCTAGGAGGATGCAGTGGCAGCCGCTGTCCCTGCTCCGCCATGTCTGGGGCCCACATGGCGGGGAGCTGGCCATCAATTCTTTTTGTTGTTGTTTTGAGACAGGGTCTCGCTACACAGTTCAAGCTGGCCTTGAGCTCACTTTGTAGCCCACACAAACTCGAACTGGCCTCGAACTCACAACGATCCTCCTGCCTCAGCCTCCCAAGTGCTGGGATTACAGGTGTGATTGCCACACCCGGCTAGGCCATCAGTGTTTAAAATGCCCTGTTACAAGCTCTGGGTCAGTTAGCTGCATGACCTTGGGCAACTTCTTGGCCTCTCTGTGCCTCAGTTTCCTCGTTAGGAATGGAGATAAATACAGGGCCTGCCTGTTGCTTTGGTTAGAATTGAGCCAAACCATGAAGCGTGGAACACAGCACAAGTGCTCAGCAGGAAATGTGCAGGATCTTGAAAGTGGTGGTGATCTATTTCCTGTTTTGGTTCCTAGGGTGCACCAGGAGACTTTGGCCCCTGGGTAAGCATGGAGCACCACCACCCTCACCCGCTCCTCCTGGTTTGTTCCGTGTTACTCTAACGTGGCGTCTCGAGGCTGTGCTCTGGGCCCCAGTTGCCCATAGCTCATCCCAGGAAGGGGCGAGTGAAGCTGCCCTTCCTCCCCACCCGTGACTGCTACGTGGAAGGCGCAGGTATCCTGGTCAGGCCAAGGCCACTACCTTCCACACAGAAGGACCCAGCAGATGTCCAAGTCCCTGTCCTTGTCACCATGGGTGCCCGACAGTGGGGCTGGTCCTGGTCCCAGGCTGGATACGGACCTCCCTGAGGGCAACTGGTCTGACCGCAAAGCACAGCTCTGCCACTTAGCAGCCCCTGACCTTGCCCAAGTCACTTTCACCTGAGTGAGGCAAGGGTGACGGCCACTACTCCCGTGGTCGTGAAAATTCGCTGCAGTCATAAAAGTCAGCGCCCAGCATGAGGACAAACCAGTGCCTCCTCCAGGCCCACCTCTGCCCCCCATCGGTGTCCCTGGGCCGCATGCTCACTCAGGTAGCCACCCCAAAGGGGTTCTGGCAGAGGGTCACTGCAGTAGACCCGGACCGGTGCCCCTATTTCTGGCACGGCCCCGGGCAGGAAGGCTGCAGAGGTTGAAGCTGGGTGTTCATTGCCCCCGAGGAGGCCAGGCCGTGATGCACACGGCTTGTGTCTGTGAGTTTGGGCTGGGCTTTTCAGCGCAAGGCCCACCCACGTCCGTCCTCTGCTGTCCTGGGGGAGCAGGACCGTTGGGGGGGGGGGGGCGGAGCAGGGCGCCACCTAGTGGGGAATGGACGGCAGCAGGAGGAGCCCGGCGGAGAGGGCCGGCTGGGGCTGTGGTAAGGACGCGGGGAGCCCAGCACCCCACCGCATGGCTCAGAGCCTGGTTGTGTGAACTGAGGACAGCAGGGTCCACATGACAGAGTGGTTGTGATCAGGGGCTGGGAGCGGGAAGGGGGCTGGCCAGGCTGAGCGCCACAGGCCGAGCCATCTGCAGCGCTGGTGAGATCGCTCCCACAGCAGAGAAAGCTGCCGTGCTGCCCTGGGCTGCTGAGAAGAAGCCTTTTTGCTTGCTTCCTGGCGGCAGTGTGGGAGCTGAGCTTCCACGGGGAGCACCCACCCACAACAGGTCCCGAGGCCGTGGACAAGCAGCTCTCCCTCCTCATGTCCCAGAGTCCCAGTGGTTTGTGACCCCCACATAAGGTTAGGGCCTTAAAACGACAGATTACAGCATCTTCCGAGGTTGCCAGAGCAGGCCTGGTCCCCTGTAGCTGCGGCAGAGGCAGCAGGTCCTGGAGACCGAGGAGGGACCCTCACTGGCCGCTCACCTGGAAGGTGCCCCGGGGCTCTCCCGTCTCAGGTGGTCCCAAAGCAGCATCCCCGAGGCAGGGAGTGGGCGCCACCAGGCTGGGAGAAGCTCCACCCAGAGCAGGCGGAGCATGGCCTCCCCTGCCTCTGGCAGCCCGATGAGGCCCGGGCCAGCCACAGGGGCACCAGCCTCCCCAGGGACCAGCAAGAGCCCGTGATAGAGGAGCGGCACAAAAGCCATCTGGAGCAGGTTGTCTGCACCCCACCGTCAGGCCGCCCTCTCTGAGCTGGGCGAGCTGCCTCTGCCACCAGAAGCAGCCTGTGGCTTGTGGAAGCCCCTGCTGCTTCTCTGACCACACCCCCTGTTTGCTGCCCAGATGGTCTTCCCTCGGCTCAGCCCCGGCTTTATAAGCGGAGACCGCCGCGCGTACAGCGTCCGCGTCCTCAAGGTAGACGGCCGAGCGAGGCTCCGGCCTGCTGGTGTGCTGTGGCCCCGTCCCCGTGACTCACTGCACGTTTCCAGGGTTGGACTTCAGCCATCCAAGTCCTGAAGGACGAGGGGCAGCTGGCCGGGCCAGAGACCGAGGACAGCCTCCCCATGACCTGCTGGAATGTCTCAACAAGTAGCATCCAGACCAGTGGCTCCCAGTCTAGGGCTCTGAGCTGTAAAAGGAGCAGCAGGGGCCATGGATGGAGAGGAGTGTCTAAGAGAGCCTGGTACAGTGGCACAGGCCTATAATCCCAGCTACTCAAGAGGCCGGGGCAGGAGGAGAGCAAGTTTGAGGCCAGCCCCGGTAACTGAGCAGGACCCTAAAAATCAATGCACACAAAGAAGTCTAGAAGAGACAAGTGGCCTTGGTAGTCAGGGGGGCTCAGCCTCCCCACTCTGTAACCCTGAGTGACGACTGCCTCTCTGACACCCAGCCTCCTCTGCACAGCGCGGCAGGGAGGGTGCCTGGCCAGCTCACCCAACGGTGGGATCAGCATGCTCTCCGAGGGCTTGCTCCCCGGTGCTGGCTCCACAAAAGGTTTCCTCCCCTTTTCAGGGACAACAAGGTTGGGCACTCCAGGCTGTATGACCGGGTGTGCCCTTACCGCACCCTGTGCCATGCCTGGGCAGGACTGACTGGGGCAGCAGGAAGGTGCCAGTTGCACTGTGGGCTTTGCTCCTTTCAGGCTGAGCCATGGGTAAAGGGCTCTGGCTGCCTGGGGTCTGACCCGGTACTAACATCGGCTCCAAGAGCTGGGGCTTGGTGTCACCGCACGCTCGTGTGGCGCTGCATTGCCTTTCCTTTTTAGCTTTTCATGGTGATATAATTGTAGATTCACATGCATTGTAAATAAATAACATACCATGTGCCCTGCAGCCCTTCACCTGGCTGCCCCATGACAGCTTGCATGGGGGTGGTTCACACCCAGGAGGTTGATGTCGGCACAGCCCACCAATCTTGTTCAGACCTCCCCAGGTTTACGCATTCATCCATGTGCATGTTCAGTGTGTGTTTTGTCCTGTGCGGTGTTATCACACTTGTAGACTTGGGCGGCACTACCCAGGATTCCTTCTGCTGTCCTTGGTTAGCTGTGGACAGCTCGCTCCCTCCAACTGAACCCCAGCAACCATTAATCTCCCACTGAATTATTCTGCCACTCAGAGACGTTACACAAACATAGGCATACGGCATGTAGCCTTGTGAAACCAGCTTTTTTTTCATTCAGCACAGTTCCCTTGAGACGCGTCCAATTTTTTGCATGTATGGGAAGCTTGTTCCTTTCCATTTATTGCTAAGTAGTCCCGTGACATGCAAGTACTGCAGCTCCTTAACCACTCACCTCTGGAAGGATGGAAGGATGATCGGCTTGTTACCAGCTTGGGGCTACAGCAAATGAAGCTTTGTGAACATTTGCATACAGCTTTTCATGTAAACACAGGTTTTCACTCCCCTCATATAAATGCCCAAGACAGCACCTCCATCACCTTTAATGAGGCAGGAATGGACCAGCCAGGAAAGTCTGCTGGGAGACACTCAGGGAAAGGGTACAGTTGCTTTCTCCCACATTAACCTTGTCCTCTCTCACCTGGGCACCCTCTCTGGCCTACAGGCACCCGAGAGGCAGCATGTGCTCAAGGTATGAGGGGTTCTGGTGGGCCACATGGACCAAGGTTTAGAGACCAGGCCCTTCACACGGCTGCGGGGAAGCAGAAACAGGACCCATATTGGGCTGGGGATTTAGCTCAGCGGCACAGCACCTGCCTGGCAAGGTCGTGAGTTCGATTCCCGGTACCGGGGGAAAAAAAAAACAACAAAAAAAAAAGAGGACCCATATCAAAGCCTGTCCCTCGGAGCCTGCCTCCAGGGCTGGGGATGGGGAAAGGACAGGGGCTGCCCGCATAAGGGAGACCTGCACCGCAAGCTGGAACCCCTTCCCCAGACCCTTGGGCCCATGCCAGACTCCATCTCTTTCAGGGAGAACAAGGGCAAGATGGAGCTGCAGGGCCTCCAGGCCCCCCTGGGCCCCCTGGGGCACGGGGCCCTCCTGGCGACACTGGAAAAGATGGCCCCAGGGGAGCTCAAGGCCCAGCGGTAAGAGAAGGCACGGGCAGAAGCACCTAGGACCCGATCCTCTGATGACCCAGACCCCGGACTGGCCTCGGCACCAGCCCCAGCCCCGTCCCCTGCACAAACCCAACACGAAGCTTCCCCCAGTCCAGGCACCAAAGCGGAGCCCAAGCAGACTCGAACTCCAGGCCCAGCTCAAACCCCACCCCAACCCCAGGCCTAACCCCAACCAGACCCTTAGCTCGCCCAGATCTTGGATCCAACCCTAACCTAGTCCCTGACCCCAAGCAGGACTCCTCTCCCAAACTCTTTGCACATCCTGCCCCTGCCCCTGCCCCGCCCCTGCCCCTGCCCCAGCCGGTGTTACCCAGCCTCTGTCCTCGCTGCCCAGACACTGTCTGCAGATAGCTGCAACCCCGAGGCGCGGGTGGACCCTGACCTCAGCCGCAGTCCCTGAGGCTCCGATGTGGGCACGAGGCCACACTCACTTCCCCGCACTAACTAGGTAGCCTTGGTGTCCCCACACCCGGGAGCCCAGGCCTCGGTCTACCCGCTTCCCTAACCAGGACCCCAGCCTGCAGAGCCCGGCGCCCCCGGGCTGTGCTCCCGCTCACCCACCTCAGCGGCCACGTGGGCCGGAACCCTGGCCTTGCCCTCTGTCTGCGGAGGGGAACGGCTGCCCGCCAGGCCTGGGCGGGGAGGGAACAAGGAGACAGTGCGCTTGGCCGGCAGCAGGTGGGGCCAGGATCCATGGGACACCTCGGAGCCTGAACCGCTATTCTCTCCTGTCTCCTAGGGCCCCAAGGGCGAGCCTGGACCGCACGGCGAGGTGGTCAGTACCCCAGACCCGGCAGCCCCTTGCCACACAGGCCCACCTGGCAGAGGCGTGCACAGCCCACACACGCGCCCCTGCCTGCCCCCGCCCCGCAGGTCGTGGTGGATGCCACGCCCAGCAGGGAGAGTCCAGTGCCCAGCTTCCTGGGTGGGGTCCGCAGTGCGCTGGCCGCTGCTTGAGCCTCAAAACAGTGGGAGGTGCTCACAGTCAGTCCAGGGCCGGGGAGCGCACGCCTGGCGCTGCGCAGCCCGCCTCCTCTCTGGGACTAGATGGCGCCCTTTACAGAAGGGAAGGTGACAGGCCCAGCCGCAGCCTCCAGGGGTGTCTGACACCCTCTCTCCTCTTGTTCCAGGGCCTGAAGGGACCCCCAGGGCCCCAGGTAAGTGCTCCTGTCCTGACCTGCTGTGGAAGCGGGAGGGGGACAGGCCCTTATTTCCCCACTGACCCTCTGAAGGACATCTTGGTTGCTTTCAGACTTGGGCAGTTATGAGCGTGAGAGCTGTGAACGTCCAGGGCAGCTCTTCGTGTAGTCACAAGTGTAGCCTCCTCGGGTGTCCACGGTCTCTTTTCTTCCCTCCTGGGGGAGCGCGGGTGGACGGAGGGCTGCGGGCCTGCGGGGGATCCAGACCCTGGGCCATGGAAGGAAGGGTGGGAAAGGGCTCTGCCGGGCACTGGCCCGCGGCAAGCCCGGGCTCTCGGGTCTCCTCCCGGCCACAGCTCCCAGCAGCCTTCTGACTGCAGGAGTCACCTCTCCACTTTCAAGAGCAGGGATCTCGCCAGGGTCACGGAACGAACAAGGTTGTGCGACTGCCGCGCTCCGGGGTCCTGGCCGGGGCTGACGGCCACGAGTCCCACCGCACCAGAAGAGAAAGGTCGGGTGCAGAAAACCCCTGTGCTCTGACCCCCTTGCCGCCTCTTGTTTTCCTTCAGGGTGAGCCCGGCGCCCCCGGAAAGAAGGTGAGGGCCCCGCGGAGCTTCACACCAGGGGCAGGAAGTGCAGGAGAGCCGGGCCGGGCTGCCACAGGCTGGCAGGTCCTCCCCACAGGGCAGGCGTCCCCTGTGCCAGCCCCAGGGTCTCCGCAGAGGCAGTTCCCTCCGTCTGCTCACCCCTCCCTCCCCTTCCTCCGCCACACACTTCAGGGCTGGGACGGTGGCACCAAGCGTGGTCCTGGCCCGGCAGCACCAGCACCACCTAAGGGCGCATGGAGATGCGCATTCTGGCTGGGCGGGGCCGGGCACTCAGTGGGCAGCGCTGGCCTGGCCCGGCTAGTGGAGGGCCCTGCCTACCCCCCAGCACTGAAACGTTACACATGTGAGTTCTGGGGCCACCCCAGATTCTGAGGCAGAGGCTATGGGGGAGACCCAAGGTCTGCGTAAGCTGAGGCGCCCCTAAGCTTGGGAGCCACCGCTGGACGGGAGAGGAGCCCAAGCACCTCCGTCATGCCGTCCCCGTCCCCGCCCGACACTGACTTCTGACACTGTGTTTTGGTCCTTGGACGATCTCAGCCCTTGGCCTCCTCCAGCTCCCTCCGAGGCAGCCCGGGTCCATCCCGGCAGCCAGGACGCTCCACGACGTTGCGTGAGGGAGTGACTGAGTGTTCTCTCCCTGCCCGGGCGCTCTTTCTGCAAACACTCGCCGGGCTGGCTCTGGCTGGGGGAGGCAGGGGCACGGAGACCCAGCCCTGCCCTGTCCTAGAGGCCAACAGCTCGGGGCCCTGGGGGTCTGCAGGGGAGGGGCCCGCTGGCACCAGAGGGTCTGGCCAGCCTGGCCAGCCATGATGGTCAGTCACAGCCTCAGCTGTTCTCTCCTCAGGGGGAGGACGGGGTGCCCAGCCAGCCCGGACTCCCTGGACCCCCAGGGCCCAAGGTAAGTGTGTGCCCCTTGCCCAGGGGGCCCTGCCTTCGTGCCCCACGGTTGCAGCCTGCCCAGTGCCTGTCCTGGCCCTTTGCACCACATGGAGTGGCCGACCCAGCTCATCCAGGCCCTGGCCGCCCCGCGCTCCCCCAGCTGCCCCACCCCTGTGCCGCTCGGGCACCCTCCTCAGGAGCCAGCACCCCGGGTCCCAGGCCACTCTCCCTGCGGTGTCCTGCTCACATCAGCATTTCCATTTCAGGGCGAGCCGGGGACCACGGGGCCCAGAGGGCAGGACGGCGTGGACGGTGCCCCAGGACCGAAGGTGACGTCAGTGGGCTCTGCTCTGCTGGCGAAGGCCCACAGCGGGCCCGGCAGGGGCCGGGGTTCTACCTCTCACTGCCCAGATGCAGGGCAGCAGGGGTGCAGAGTGTGGGGGAGGCAGCGGTCTGGTGCCGGCCAGGGCCTCTGCTCAGCCCCACCCACTCCAGCAGTGCCTCCCTCTTGGGTCCCTCTCCTGAGGCCAGCACAGGGGCCTGGGCCCTCCTGGGGAGTGGGGCTGGAGGGGCTCAGGTGGGGTCCCGCAGGCCGGGCTGCAACCGTGCATCTCCACAGGGGGAGCCCGGGCCTCGAGGCACCGAGGGAACCGCAGGGCCCCGGGTAAGCAGCCTCCAGGCCTGGGGAGGGGCAGGGATTATCTGAGCATCTTTTTACATTTCACACCATCTGCCTACGGGCAAGTGTTCAAATGTGGGCGTGCCAAAGTCAGAGTCCCGACCCCTCATCGCAGGTCCTGCCCCACACAGAGCTCCCCCCTCAGCACCCCGCTGCCCCATCTCTTGCAGTCAGCCCGAGGGACTGGCCTTACACGGACAGCCAGGGTCCCATCCTCGGCTGTGTCACAAGATGTGCCCACGTTCCCTTGTGCCCCAGTGGCTGACCTGGCCTTCCGAAAAACATCTGAACCCAGCCTGGCTGCAGGTGGCCAGGGCACTGGGTCAGCCCCGAGCGTGGGGTTTGTGTGTGTGCTGGAGAGCTCCATGTGGGCCTGACCCAGAGTCTGCTGGGAAGCAAGGCTGGGTCTGGCTCCCCCAACACGAGTTGCTGGCCCTTGCTGGACCCTTCCTGGGGAGCGAGGTTCAGGTGCCTGAGAACCTCTGAGTTCCTGGGCAGGGGTGGCATGGAGCGTGTGCACACGTAACCAAGAACACGCGGGTCTCGGCACACACCAAGCGCAACCTGCTGCAGAGGTTGGGGGGCAGGGCCAGCCGTCCGTGTCCCTCCAGGGTCTCGCTGGCTGACACAGGGACCCCTCCACTCCACACACCTGCACACACTCCCAGCTGCTCACCCTCCCTTCTAGGGTGCCCCGGGCCTCAAGGGCGAGCAGGGTGACACGGTGGTGATCGACTATGACGGCAGGATCCTGGATGCCCTGAAGGTAGTGTTCGTGGGGTCCAGGATGCCCCTTGAGATCCGTGCCCTCCCCCTGAGGGCACAGGGGGAGCTCAGCACGCAGACCTCTGTCTCCTTGGGCGCCCAAAACCGTGACGAGTGCGGTGTGGACCAGTGCAGTGCTGGGAGGCCATGGCAGCGTGGGTGTGGGGCCCGAGCTCCACAAAGGCAGAGCGTCTCCTGGGGTCTGAGCCAGCAGTGTCTCCAGGCCCCTCTCTGGGCCACGGGGGAGACAGGGGAAACCCTGTCGCGAGCCTGGGCACACGTGTGCCCTCTGAGCCCTGCCCAGTGACTGGCAAATTGGGACCTACTACAGAGAGAGAGGCGGGATGCCAGCTGCTCATGGGCACCAGGGAAAGGAGCTGGGTGGGCACAAGGCGGCATCAGGACCGGGCTCGGTTGGTACCTGACCGCAGCTTCCATCGCAGCTGTCTCCCGCGGGGCTCGGGAAAGTGCAGGGGGAGGCTAACTGCAGGCCGTCCCAGGCCCGCGCAGGGCAAGCGACGGCTCGGGACGTGCGCATGCGTGGTGTGGCCCAGGTGGCCGGGAGCCGCGGGGGAAGGCCCCGTGAGTTGCAAGGAAGCAACTCCTAGGATTTGGGGTGCCTGGGTGGTTCAACTGGGTGGCAGCAGGCAGCCATCGCCGGTCCCTGAGCAGGGGAATGATACATTCAAGAAGAAAGGAGAGACTGGGGGAGGGCAGCTCAGGAGTGCTATGGAGCCTTCCAGGGAGGTAGGTGCCAGCCCCAGACCTAGCGCCCGCCGGCAGAGGCAGGAAATGACGTCAGCAGAGGGCAGCGTGGGGGTGGGGTGGAGGGCGAGGACAGAGCTTGTCAGCCAAGGCCTTTAGGAGCTGCTGAGCCGCTGCGAGTCCAGACAGGCGCTTAGGAGCAGGTCAGACCTTGTGACCCCGAGACGCCATCGCCCACCTGTGGGACCAAGGAACGCCCGGGACCAGCAGGCGGCAGGAAGCAGAAGCAGTCAGAACTCACGGGACAGGCAGACAGGAGGTGGCCAGCTGCTGTGAGGGTGTGATCCGCTGGCCTCGGGTGCCAGCCCGGATTACACTGGCTTTGAGCTGATAGGGAGCTGTTGTGGAGCGTCGAGCAGCAATGCGTGGTGAAGAATCTGTATCTGGGGCAGACCGGCTCTGAGGGAGTCTGGGCTGTGCCACCAGGCGCTGTGATAGCTCGGTGGACGCCTGCTGCCACCTCGCTGGCCCCGCCCGACCTGCCTGGGTGGGGCCAGGCCTGGGGCCCTGGAGCCTGCTCAGCTGCACCCACAGGGCAGCAGCCAGGGGAGAGGGGCTCTGCCCCACCGCTGACCAGCTTGACTTCTGCACACAGGGTCCTCCCGGGCCACAGGGAGCCCCAGGACCACCAGGGATCCCCGGAGCCAAGGTCAGTGCAGATGCAGCTACATGGCCCCTGGGACCCCGTGTCCACCTGCCCTCTCCTCTCTGCCACCCCGCCCCCGGCCCCCACATCCCTCCTGCTGTCAGCCTGAGTTCCGGGGATGCCATTCTAGACAAAACAAGTGCCCTCTGCAAGCCCCTGGCTACCACCCACCGCCCAGCCCTGTGAAGTCTCCTTCACACACTCGCCCGCCGGTCCTCCCCAGGACGCCCGGCCGGCCCTCGGTGTGCGTGTGCACAGCCGATGCTGTGGCTGTGCCTGCTCGGTGCACCCTCCCACTTGTCTGGAGGAAGAGCCCCTGACTTTGAAGTCAGGCGGGATCTGGTCCTGGCCCCACTCGCCCTGAGCTCTGGGACCCGGGCCTCAGCTTCCAGAGCTGTGACCTAACAACCTGGAGGTGATGGCCTTGTGTACAGCTGTCTCTCAAAGCTCAGCAGAGAGGCGGCGGCACCAGGCGCCTTGCTGGAAGTCTCTGACCCACCGGGGAAGGCCTGTCTTGGGGCAAGGGAGCCAGAAGTCCTCTCACTGTTCCCTCCATCCCCTGCAGGGTGAGCTCGGACTGCCCGGTGCCCCAGGAATCGATGGAGAGAAGGTCTGTGGGCTTTTGATTTCCTTGGTGACGCTGGTGCTGGGCATGGTGTGTGTGTGTGTGTGTGTGTGTGTGTGTGTGTGTGAGACCCACACAGAGGTGAGCGTATCCCTCATGTCACCTGATAACTGTATCAAGTGGGTGTGTCTACTGCTGGGCCCCTAGCATGTGGCACATTTTGGGCAAGACATGACTGCTGAATGAAGGACAGCCGTGACTCCAAGCCCTGGTATGCGTGCGCAGTTCAGCCCATGAGTGCCCTGAAGGGCCTGCCCAGGCCCGTGAGCCCCTCCCCCCGCCTCAGGCTGCTCCCCAGTCACAGGGGATGCGGCATGGGGATCCCCTGCCCCCAGTTCCAGCTCCCCCACTGCTTCCAGGGTCCTGGCTGCTGAGCTAGGGATGGGGGCCCACAGCAGGAAGTGGGAGTCTGGCTGGCCTGGTCTAAGCGCAGGACCCACGGGGAAGGGGGTGTCCCTGAGCCCCACTGACTGTGTGATCTTGTGGCCTCAGGGTCCCAAAGGACCGAAAGGAGACGCAGGAGAGCCTGGGCCAGCGGGACCCAAAGGGGAAGCGGGCGAGATGGGCTTACCTGGCCTTCCGGTAGGTGGCTGGGCTGGGCCTGCCCCACTTGCTAAGTTGGGGGTCCCACTGTGAGTGTGTACCCATCCCAGCTGGGTGGGGACTGCAGGGAGGCCAGGAAGGGTGTGCTGAGGACATGGGATGCCCCACAGGGGACGCCCCAGCTCCCTGCCAGCATGGCCCTGGCTGAGCGTGCATCCTCACCTGCGAGGCCTCTGCCCAGCCTGTGTCAGTAGGGTCAACAAGGAGATGCATTCTGGTAGCAGCGGGGTGGTCTCGTGGTTGGACTGTGCTCAGCTGAAGCTGCCTGGGCTTGCATCCATGGCTTCCTGACCCCGGGGCCCTAGACAATGACCTAACCTCCTCTAGCCTCAGTTTCCTCACCACTAAAATGGGCATGAGCTGGGCATGGCATGCAGGCCTGTAATCCCAGCACTCAGGAAGCTGAGGCAGGGTGTCAGTGAGTTCAAGGCCAGCCAGGACTACATAGCAAGAGGCTGTCTTAAAAATAAATGAATAAAAATAGAATAGAAGAGACTAGGAATACTGCTTAGTGGCACAGCACCTGCCTGGCAGGTGCAAGATCCTGAGTTCGATTCCTGGTGCTAAAAAAAGAAATGGAATAGGAGAGGAGAGGGGAGAGGGGAGGGGAAGGGAAGGGAGGGGAGTCTTGTCCCTGAAGGAGAAGACAGGGCTAAGCGTGGAGGCTGGATGCAGCAAGCCTACTGTCACCCTGGCTGGATAAGACAAGCGGCCAGTGTTACATAGCCACTGGGCACCTCTGACCTCTGCCACTGTCCACCCTGAGGGCCACCCATGGGACGTGGCACTGGGGTTTGACCCTGGGTCCCGCTTTCAGAGTGCCGGCCCCTCGCTGCGCCGCAGGGCGGTCTGTCTTGTGTGTTGCACACTTCCGCCCCCACCGGGCGCATCCTGGCTTGGGGAAGTGAGGCTGCGCGGCTCAGCTCGGGGCTGCTGTGGGTGAGCCTGAGCAAGGGGTGGTCTGACAGCGCGGGGAGGGCTGTGGGATGTGGGAAGGGCTCACAGGCCACCCGTCCCGCAGGGCACCGATGGCCCCAAGGGCGAGAGGGGAGACTCGGCGTCCGAGAGCCTGCAGGAGAGCCTGGTAAGGGGGCTGGGGTGCGGGGTCCCAGGGCTGCACCAGCACGCAGCCCAGGCTGGGGCAGAAGAGCACCCGGCCCGACCCAGCCGGACAGCGGGCGGCCATGCCATGGGGAAGCAAGGGCTGGCTGTGGAGTCCCCCACAGGCTGCGCCCTGCCCCCCCCCACAGCAGCAGGGGCCCCGCCCAGGGCGCTCTGTCCGCGTGAGTGACTTGGGGACCCGGCAGGCGAGGGATGGTGGGCAGGGTGACTAACCCATCTCTGACCTTGCAGGCCCAGATCATAGCAGAACCAGGGCCCCCCGGGCCCCCCGGACCCCCTGGCCCCATGGTAAGGACAGCTTGGCTTACAGCAGCTGGGGGCCCATGAGGGGGGTGAGCCTGGGCCCCAGCAGGGGCAGGGAGGGCAGGAGGCTGCACGGGGCCGGGGCCCAGGGCCTGTGAGAGGCCTGAAGCTGTGAGGCGGCTGCAAGACAGGGCCCCGGCCCGGAGCCTGCATCCAGGCTGCCGCGTCTGACCTCCTCTCTCACCCTCCAGGGCCTCCAGGGAATCCAGGGTCCCAAGGTGAGTGGCAGAAGACCCAGAACTGGACACCATGCTGAGCCTGGGGGCCGGAACATGTGCCTGGACGGTGGCCTCCCGGCCATCCTCCAGCTGTGCCGGGCTCCACTCACTTCTCCCTCTGTCCGCTGCCCTGCTCCCTTGGGCTTGCCCACCCCTGCTTCCCGCACCTCCCGCTCCTCCCCGAAGGCGCACACATCGGTCCCAATGCCGGCCTTAACGCCACGTCTCGGGCTTGGGGTGTTTCATCCTGTCGGGTTCTCTGCTCTTACAGGAAAACCTCCAGTGTGGTCTGCCCGGGAGACAGATACAGGTCCTTGTGCGTTTGTTTGAGACAGGGTCTCACTGTGCAGTTCATGCTAGCTTTGAACTCACTTTGTAGCCCAGGCTGGCCTCGAACTCGGGCCATCCTCCTGCCTCAGCCTCCCGAGTGCTGGGATTACAGGCGTGTGGCACCACACCCGGCACAGACACAGGTCCTTGTCACACCTGCCCCTCACTCACCCTGGAGGAGGAGAGCTCCTCTCCGCCCCAGCTCCAAGGCTAGGTGGGCAGCCAGGCTGCAGAATCCCAGCCTGAGGGGGCCAGGTGTGTGGCCCAGCCAGATGTGCTGCTGCTGGCTTCTAAACCCACAGCGGGTTTAGAAGAGGCAGCTGCTGCCTGGGACTGGGTCCAAGGCTGGGGTTCAGAAAACTGGTTGGTGCTGGGCCCGAGGCTTCCGGCTGTGCCCTCCCCGTGCCTCCCTTGCTGTCTGTGGAACGGGTGTCACTGTAAATGTCTCCCACAACTCCTGAGGGAGCCCGTGGGTGGGGAAAAGGGAACATGTGGACCGGGGATGTAGCTCAGTGGCACAAGCACCTGCCTGGCACGCACAAGGTCCTGAGTTCAATTCTTGGTACAATAAAAAAAAAAAAAGGAACACACACCCCCTGCTCTCCCTGATCACTCTGCCCTGGAGGATGTGGGCCAGGCCTGTCAGAGCCTTTCCGGCCTCGACCAGCCCGTGCTCTCCTGTCCTGCTGTCTGTTCCTCCCGCTGACTGATCTGCCCTCCACTCCAGGGCCTGGACGGAGCAAAGGGAGAGAAGGGTGCCTCAGGCGAGAGAGGCTCCAGCGGCCCACCTGTGAGTGTCGTGCGCCCCGTTTGTCCCCAGGGTGCGGCATCTTGTTCCTGTCACTCTTCTTGATGCACTTCTTTTCCGTGCAGGGCCCAGTTGGCCCACCAGGTCTTATTGGGTTGCCGGGAACCAAAGGAGAGAAGGTAACCGCCCTCCCTGCAGCCCCACGCCCATGGTGTCCCCAGGCTTGGAGCACGAGCCCTGGGCCTTGCGGGGTCTCTGCCCTCACAGGGCGGCCCTGAGGCTCTGCAGTGCGGTTCCGCCCCGACCTGCGTCTGTGCCTGCAGTCTGCCTCCCTGTGCCAGGGTGGTCCGGGCGCGGGGCCTGGCTCCCAGCAGCTGCGCTCCCCGCACCCCTTCCCGGTACTCACGCCCCTCTCTGTCTCTCTCCAGGGCAGACCGGGGGAGCCAGGACTTGATGTAAGTTCCCCGTGGTTCACTGCAAGTGACTGGGTCCTCCCTGTGTTTCTCCTCTGCCCTGTGTCGCTCGCACGGTCACCTGGCCAGCACAAGTGTGGCCCCTGCCCGGGTGCAGCTGCCTGGTCCGTGCACTCAGTGCCAAGCCGGGCACATCCCAGAGTGGTGCTTTGTGAACGGATGGCAGGTGGATAACAGGGGTGCGGAGGACTGAGGACTGGAGGGAGGATGGAGGGGTGGTGGTGGGTGAGGGAGGGGATGGGGGGGTGGACGGCTGATGCGAGGGTGAGTGGGTGGGTGAAGGATGGAGGGGACAGCGCACGGCGGCTGGACGAACGGACGGGGATGGTTGGTGCACGGATGAACAAGTGCATGAGGACGGTGGCTGGCACACGGATGCGTGCGTGAGCGGGTGCGGGTAACGGCAGGGCTGTGGGGCAGCAGTGAGGAGCCTGTTGCAGCACCCTGGGGAGAGATCATGAGGCCTTCGGGATCTGCACCGGTACTGCGGGAAGGAGGGGAATGGAAGCAGGAGCTCAATGTTGAGTGTATCAGGCTTGCTTTGGCAGGATGGCATAAACCAAACACAGTCTAGGGCCAGGGATATAGCTGCTTGGCAAGCGCGAGGTCCTGAGTTTCATTCCAGACACCAAAAGTAAAAAAATTTAAACAAAATAGTTTAAACTGGTTTAAAGTGCCTCATAGCTGGGAAGTCCAGAAGCTTAACGCCTGCCCCAGGACACACCTGTGTGGACACCACCCAGCTTTCACGTCTCCTCTCTCTGCTTTCCCTGCGTGGGGAGCACTGGAGGGGGAGCAGAGCCAGCAGCTCCGCACCCGAACCTCCCTGGGCCCAGACCCCCAGTAATGGTACCGCCTCGCTGTAGCGACACGCCTGGCTCCATCGGGGCAGGCAGGCCCACGCTGCCGAGCCACCTTGCTGCAGGAATGCGGTGCCCTCCTGGGTGGGCGTGATCATGTGCCCAGCCCGGGCACTGTAAGGAGGGTGGACAGTGAGGAGCGCTCAGGAGGGCAGAGTGAGCAGCTGCAGGGCTGAAGGAGAGGGTGTGGCGGGGCAGGAGGGGGGCCGAGGGCAGGGTTCCTTCAGTGGACCGCGCTGGGGAGCAGGCACCGGGTGGACTTGAAGAGGCTTTACGCACCACGCACGCGGTGGCAGCTGCCTTGGAGGAGGCCGGTGCTCCAGGTGGCATCGCAAGGCCACGCCTACTTGCTCCACCTGGCAAGCCCAGGCCCTCGCTCAGCAGAGCCAGCTGCTCAGGGGCTTCCGTGGACCCCCAGCCCTTATACAGCAGTACTTCCTTGGGAGCCCCGCGACCCGCTTTGCACTTCCCTGTCCTTGGCCCTCGGCCGCTGCCATTAGTGAGCGAGTGAGCGGGGTAACGCCGCAAACTCCTATACCCGGCATCCGGCCGCAGCCCAGCTCCCAGTGGATGCTTCGTCCTGCTGGCTGGCTGGATGGACAGACAGACGAAGGACAGATGAGGGTGCACAAAGCTGCGCCGAGGGGAAAGAAGAGGTCACCCTTTCTCGGTCTGTCAAAGATGGTGACACAAACGTCCCCAGCCGAGCCCAGGCCGATGCCAGCGGCCCCTGGCTGGGACTCGCACATAGGCACGGGGGTCGGCTGCGGAGGAAGCAGAGCTGGTGCCCGACATGCATGCACACACGCTGTCCTGTCCCCACGCGGTCCCCGCACATGCGTCACCCGGCGGTGGGGCTCGGCAGCTGCAGCCTGAGAGTGTACAGCGGAAGGGCAGTCTTGGCTGGACGGCACGGAGGCAGCGGGCAGGGAGCAGGGACTTCAGCCCTATCCTCGGGTTTGACCTTTGTCTTTCTGTCAGGGCTTCCCTGGACCCCGGGGTGAGAAAGGGGACCGGAGCGAGCGCGGGGAGAAGGTGAGGCGGGGAGGAGGAGGCAGGTGGGGCGGAGGGCCAACAGCGGGGCCGTGGGCAGCGGGCGGCTGGGATTGGAGCTACAGGGCTGGCAGCCGCTGCTCTGCAAGTGCCAGGGGGCCCTGAGCCCGGTGACTGGCCACCCACCGTCCGCTTCTCGTGCAGGGGGAGCGAGGCGTCCCCGGCCGGAAAGGAGTGAAGGGCCAGAAGGGAGAGCCAGGGCCGCCAGGCCTGGACCAGCCGTGTCCCGTGGTACGTGTCGGAGCAGGGCGGGCCGAGCCCCGGTCCTCCAGCCTCCCCAGCAGTCGGGTGACCTCGCCCGTCCTCAGAGCTTAGCGCGAGTGCCATGGGCCACACCGGCCCCACACTGGGCACCCATGTGCCAGGCCACCACAGCCACCCGCACATCACTGTCCCTCCGCTCTGCTCCAGCGCCCTCCCAGGGACGCCTCCGGGACAAGGCCTCCTCTGGAGACCAAGACCCTGCCCGGGCCACTGCCTCCCTGAGCCCAGGCAGGCCTGGCAGGAGTGGGCCCTGTCCTGGGCAGGAGGTGGCCAGAGGCTGGTTTTGCTGAGTCAGCGGCAATTGTGGGTGCCCCAAGAGGGCGTGACAGTCACGGACGAGCCACTGTGGGGACAGGGCCAGGGTGCCCACCCTGGAGCTGGCCCCAGTTGGGGTCTGACCCCCTCTGGGCTCAGGCCAGGCTGGGGTGGGGCCAGGCTTCCCCGGGGCCTCCCCAGATCTCCTTCCGACCTCTCCTCTGCCTCCCGGAAGTGGCCTACACTCATCCCCATGTCCCCCGTCGGCCCTTTCCTTCCCTCCTCCCCATTAGCTCCTCTCCCGCCCCTCCCAGGAGCCCTGCGCCAGTGCCTGGCACAGTTTGCTAGCAGGCAGGAGCGTCCGTGTTTCACACACTGCCAGGGGAGCTCAGCAAAGACAGGGCAGCGAAAGGGCAGGCTCTCCACCTCACACTCACGCTGGCCACCCCACGCAGAGGGCCGGGAGAGGGTCCCCTGGTTCGACGCGTGCGGGCTCACCCAGCACCAGGGCCCCCAGCCGGCCTCTGGCCTCCAGGGAGTTGTCGGCCCTCTGTGCCTGGGTGCCCCTCCCTCCAGGCGGTAGGAGAGCACCCCGGTGAGAAGGCCCGAAGGACAGAGAAGGACTCAGGCCTGTCGCAGCCAGGGGACAGGGCACCCCAGCCCAGGGCAACTCCCCCCCAGCGGTCAGCCTCTGTCTTTAAACAGGATCGCGCCCGATGCGGAGGCTGGCAAGGGCCACCTGGCTCCCAGGGCCTGGCAAGGGGCAGCAGGCCCTGCCCTGCGGTAGGCGGCATGGCCGGCTGTGTGCTGTGTGTGCCCTGGGCCTTCGGGGCTGCTGTGTGTGTCCGTGGCTCTGCTCCCTCCCTGCCTGCCCCTGCCTGCTGGTCCGTGCTGCCCTCTGCCCTTCCAGTTAGTGCCCAGCAGGGCCTGGCACAGGCGGAGGCCCGTGTGCTCCGTGTCTGCGGCCGTCCCTGTGTTTCGGAATGGAGTGCAGTGTTTCCCACCCAGGTGGCTCTGCATTTTGTCCCTAGCCCCCAGGCTGAATGGGCACTACCGTGCCCCGACAGCCCCACCCCAGGCCAGTGTCCACCCTGAGTCCACCCCGCCCGCCATTCAGATCCAGCCACAGGCCGGGACCAGGGGGAACCGCCTGCTGAGGTCTGCTCCTGCCCTGCCCAGAGCCACAGTCAACACTGGCAGGCGGGGGGCCACACAGCCCCAGGGCCAGGCTGGGCCCTCCTGGCAGACCAATGTCGGCACATCACCTGCTGCCAACAGCGTCCTCCTGCCTCTGCCCACTGCACGCGTGTCTGGGCAATCGCAGGGAGGAGCTGGCAGCCCCGTGAGGCAGTTCCACAGCCGCATCTCCCTACAGACCTGGGCAGGGGAGTGGGGGTAGACAGCCAGCCAGATACCCGTCCCTGTCACTCAAACCTCCTCTCCCTGCAGGGACAAGATGGGCTGCCCGTGCCCGGCTGCTGGCATAAGGTACTGTGAGGGTTGACCCCAGGCCAGGTTTGGAGGAATCGGGTGGATGGGGCGGGGCCAGAGGGCGGGCGGGGCCGTGGCTTGGAGCTCAGCTGTCTGCAGCACCCCGCACCGTGCCTGTCCCAGCCGTGGCTGAAGCTGGGGCCGTGGTCCTGGCTGTTGTGTGTCACCGGCCCTACTGGTCACATGGAGCTGAGTGGGCACCTGGCCCGGCCAGTTCAGAGCCCCGAGGACCTGCGGGAACTCTGTCCCAAGTCTCCACCGAAAGGGTGATGGGGTGAGGACAGCCTCACTGTGCCCCGGTGGCGGCTCCCAGGGCCTCCTCATGCCCCTCGTCACCTCGTCTTTCCCTCCTTTGCCAGTGACCCCTGGGCCCAGCTCGCAACCTGTACAGATCCTCATGGACCCTTTTAATTTTTGTAAAAAACAAAACAGTAATATATTGATCTTTTGTGGAACGCACCACTGTGGCCTGTGACCTGGCGAGTGCCTCCAGCCCGGCAGGGGCAGCTCAGTAAACGGGCAGACGGTGTGCTCTGGCGGCACTGGGGGCTCGGCGTGCCCCGAAGGCGACGACGGTGATGGCGCCTGCTCAGCTTGGGCTTCCGGTCACCGGATTAGCAGAGACCTGGCTGGCCACCACCGTGAGCGCTGCGCCTGAAGCCGGGAGCCTGGGCTCACACTCGATGCGGTCAGACCTCGCTGGCCCATGGCGGCTGTGCCCGGGCCCCTCCAGCCCCCAGCCTCGGCCTCAGCTGGCTGCCCTGGACCCTGGCTCAGCAAGGCAGGACAGGACTCCGCAGGCACTTGCCACCGGGCCAGGGAGGAGTCTGTAGAGAGCTCCCAACGATGGCCTGGCTCCCTCCGGAAGCTATGAGAACTTGTGTCCAGGGGCCTCGCTCTGTCATCACTGCGGGACCTAGAGCCAGCTGCGGGAGCCCAGGGCCCCCGAGTGGGGGGATGGACAGTCCGGGTTCCACCCACTGCTACTTCCTGGGGGCATGGACAGTCCGGGTTCTGCCGGCTGCTACCTCCTGTGTCTTACCGCATCACCCCGAGACGGACAGGAGGGGACACTGCTGCCCCGGAGGAGATGGCCCCGCTGGCCCCAAGTCTCCCCGCCGGGACTGTGGTCAGCCTGGCAGCCAGGTGCCTGCCGGCCAGTTGTGCAGACAAGATGAGGTGCCAGGCCGGTCCCCGCAAGCCTGCGCAGGCACCGCCAGCTGACAGCCCTGAGCTGTCCTCCTCCCCTTGTGTAGACGGGTTTGCTCATGTAATAAACACCACCTTGTGTCTGCGTGTCCCTGTCCTTGCAGTGGCCCTGGCTGAGCGCTGGCGAGAGAGACAGGGACACCCTTGTGTCAGAGCCACCCCAGAACCCAGAGGGGGTAGTGCAGGATCAGGGCCGGCTGGGGGGCCTAGTCCTGCACAGTCAGCAGAGCCCTTTGGGCCATCCGCTTCATGTCACTGAGTGGAGCCCCTGTGGCCTCCTCCACTCTGGTTACCAGTGAATGCTGCATGCACATCGCCCCACAGTTTGTTGCCCTAAAATGTGGCCAGGTAGGGTGGCGCACACCTGTGACCCCAGCACTCAGGAGGCTCAAGCAGGAAGACTGCTGTGAGTTTGGAGCCAGCCTGGGCTGCATGTGGATACTGTCTCAAAAAAAAAAAACTTTCTGGGAGCATCAGTGGACTCTGATAGGTAGTTCTCACGCCAAGTCTCCCACATCTGGAAGCTGACGTTGCCCCCCGATGAGGACCAGGACAACACCACTTGGGGTCTTTCTGTGTGGCCTGGGCTTCCTCACCGCATGGGGGCTGGATTCGGAGGGTAAATAAATCAGGTGGGCCAGGAGGGAGTGGTCACCTTTTATGACCAAGCCTGCAGAGTCATATGGAGATGGTGTCAGTTTCTGCCAGAGGTCACCCCAACCTGCGGAGGCAGACCCCCACTTCTCGGAGAGAACGTCGTTCATGTCACACTTTGGGAGAGAATGTGAGATAGTCTGTCTTGTCGCACCACCTTAGAAAACGTCACCTGCCCCTCTGCAAAGTGGGACAGCCGTATTTGCCACTTGTATCAGCTCTGCAGGTTGCACGGATGCTTTTGCATGCCCGCCTCGTCCCCGGCGGCCCGTAACACAGCCGGGGTGCCCACTTCCAGGCCTAAGGCGGCCACAGTACAAGTGGTCCCCCAGACCGGATATGCTCAGCCTCCCAGTTAAACAAAATTGCCCAGCCCGACCAGCTAAGGAGAGAAGAGCCGGCCACGTCCCTGCCTCTGTCCCCTAAAAGCTGGCCATAAGTTGCAAGCCATGATGCTCAGCCAGTCCCCTGGGTCATCAAGAAAGCCGGAAGAGGGAAACAGGACAAGCTGCAGCGGGGCTGGGTCACTGGCTGGCGGAGATGGCCTTGGCCCATGTTCCTGGCTTGGCTAGTCCCGGCAGCACCTTCAGGTCTGCCCTTCCCCTGCCCTCCACTCGGGAGCCTCACCCCACCCCACGCAGCTCCGAAGGCCTGCGCCTTCACACAGGGACCTGGTGCTCAGGGCGGGCACTCCCTGCTGGGGACACCGGGATGGGGCAGCAGGCGTGGGCCCGCTCCTGGGCATGGATAGCCTCGGATCCCTTTTTGAAATCATTGGCAGGGCATGACCTGACCAGGCAGCCCCAGGACACTGAGTGTCTGGCAGGCAGATCTTGGAGGGGGTGGAGGCCACATGCTCCCCGACCTCAGGTTGGCAAGGGGCAGTGCCCATTGCAGCGGGCAGGGTGGGCCATGCTTGGCCCCTTGCTGCCCCCTTGTGGCTACAGACCTTTTTCTGGGGCCTGCTGCCCCTGGGGAGGTTGGTGGGGACAAAGGCCCCGGCCCCAGGGGGGTCACAGCTGAGCCTCAAGGGTAGGGCGCCTTAAGGAAGGGAGAAGCATGTTTGTTAAATCTCTGTGTGCTGTGACAGCTAAACTAATCCCTAGGGCCGCAGTCCACCCCTTTTCTTGCAGTTCCGGGGAACGCACTCAGAGCCTTTACCCTGAGCTGGAGTCCAGGCCCTTGACGGGGAGAGGGCAAGGTGCCGCTAAACTGCCCAGCATGACTCAAACTTTTGATCCTCCTGCCTCAGCCTCCCAGAATGCTGAGATTACAGGCGAGTGCCACCACACCCAGCTCGCACTCCCCTTTCACAGATGAATCTGAGAGGCCTGACCAGGTCTCCTTCCTCCCTATGCCTAAGACACTGCAGGAAGTGCAGGGGTGCTTTGGGTGGTCAGTGATCGAGGGACACGCGTGGCATCCTGCGGGCAGAGCCGGGGATGGCAGCCGCGTGAAATGCCTGCCAGCCGCTGGACGGTGTCACCTCCGGAGAACGCGGTGAGAAACGCCCTGCGGGTTCCAGGCCGGCTCGGCAGCACCCCCGCCCCGCCTCGGCCCTCCGAGTGGCCCGAAGGTGAAGCGGGGAAGGCAGGGCGAGCCCGGGCCGGGCAGGAGGGCACTTTCCGAGCGGGAAGAAGCTACACAATCGGAGCCCGGGGCG